CCTTGTTTGATGGGTCCATGTGTTAAGTGTACATGTCATTGCCGGAATAGTCAAAATCAAACCTCAAAATATTCGACTGGTGTGAGCTGGAGTCACCAAGCTCATCCTTTGATGGAGGCAAGAACAGCAATGTCTTTGTTATAAATGGCACCCTGCAAAATAACGACTCTGGATCAGACAACCCAGCCGATGTGACCAAAAATTCAACAACATGCAATCAACGAGTCATCGAGTGTGACAACAGATTCATTTGGTCGGCTTTTACAGCCAGCATAATTTTTTATGTTCCTTGAGATCAGTTCATAAAAGGAAAACCCACATGGTTGGTATGACAGGGAGATAGTGTCCCAATGTGCTGGAAAATAGTTCTCTGCAAGTAGATACATTAATTGTGACCAACCCTGAATGTGAGAGCAAATCAAGAGGGAAGGGATTGTCCTCGGATTATCTCCCCTTTGACAAGGTGCATGTACAGTGAACTGCCTACACGTGTATGAGAACTACAAATCAGTGCTCCCGTGTTCTAAAACATAATTGGCTGTGAAAACCTTTTCACAATAAAATGATAGAAATCCCATCTTTTATTGCATCAATGGAAAGAGACACATCATTTTTGTCAAAGTGTCAAGATAGTTTGACCGTTTTCCCCATGACCTACAAAATGCGACCATAAAGTAATGAAATGGCTGAGCGAACTGTACTGTAAGATCAGATAATTACATTTATTGCAGAACCTTTATATTTATTTCAAGAATTTGATACCATGAATATAACCAAGTATCCCTCAGGATGCAACATATATTGTTTTCTCCATCCCGTCTTCACATTTGATGAAAGCCACAATGACTGTGCGCCTAGTGGCTGCAAGAGTTGTATACTCCCTAGGAAGTTGAGATTGATAATATGATGTACCATATATGTACATCCAATGATCGAGGGAAAAAAATACCAGCGCCTTGAGCATGCACTAGTTGCGTGGATATATGCGCTATATAAATATCCTATAATAAATACAGTTGTGCATATTGAGTTTATAAAACCTGTAGGGTGAATGTGTTTTAAACCCAGGTCATTTTTGTTATCTATGAAAAGATATTTCGATTTTATTATTACACTGAACAAATTTTTATCTGTAGGAGTCCCATTTGCTTTTTCTGCAGTAGGTTTAAAGCTGTGTAGAACCCCTCCCCATGAACTAATTTCTTCTTCTCAATCTGTAACATGTAAGTAACTTGACACATACATCAATGGTTGAAACTTTATTTGATAGTTTGTTGTCATATAGGTATAAATACTCCTGACGAACCATACACGCCGTCTTATATCACAAGCTTCTAATTTACAGGTGTAGATATGTACAAAATAAACAATACAAATATACAAATAAATAACAAGGTATGTACAGGAAGTTATCACAGTGCAGAAGGACTACGACTAATACACATAGCAATATAAGAAATCAATTTTAGTGTTATACATGCAACTATATCGTGTGTGATTAGATCACTTCAAATGCTAAAAATGTGGCACATTTTATGAACAAGCATTGAAAACCCTGCTGGTCGTCCCAGTTCAACTATCCTGCTTGAATAAGAATTATTTAAACCAAGTAATGTAAAATCCAAATTGTTCAACTGTCCCCCAGTATACACCTAGCACGTCTTAGTTTCCCCAACTACCTACACTCTTAAGGGTTACACTTTGATTCTATTGTGATGAATACCCTGTACTTCTCGGACAAGATGTGTGATATGAGCAGAATGTAGAATAGCAGTATAGCTAGTAAAAAAGTTACACTGTTCTTTGAACAATATCAGAGGTTGACTCGTTTTGTTGTGTTATGCCTCAAATGCAAGTTATGACAAATACCCTGTATTGGTAGCTATCTCAGATTCATTACAAGATGTGTGATGTGAGTTAATGCTAACATTCACTGATTCAGTCAATCAATCAATTAACTCAAACATGATTGAATAAGCAGGAACATTATCAGAACTACTTCTCTTAAATATAACTGATGTCACAAGCATAACTGAGAATGTCGGCCTGCATAAGGACCCTCTTCCACCATCTAAACACTTATGAAAACATCATTTATGGCTTAAAGTTGAAGTTGATTCATCTCCAGATTCAAGGAATTATTTTGTGACTGCTTGTGTACATTCAGATCTATGTTTAAGTTAAAAAAGGAACATTCTATTTGACCTTGATTTCAAGATTGTGCTAGATGGAAGTTCTGTGACAAAGTCAGAGAAATGGGAAGAGGTCCCACTTTTGAAACCATGGTGGTGAATGGGTGAGGGAATATACAGTATAGGACAGAATGCAGAAACATGGGATAATACAGGGCAACCTCCCTTGTGTTCTATATTCTAATCAATGCAATATAATGTTTCCGGATTTCCAGAGATAAATATGACTTAAAACAGACATATCTTCAAGTTCCACATGCTAAGTGTTAAAATGTTCTTTTGATAAATTGATACACTGCTCTCAAATTATTAATGATAACGTGAACTGTCTTAGTGTATCTCCACCCTATTTAAAGTAGACAGTCAAACAATTAGTTGAACTGCCAAAAATATTACTGGTCAAGTATCCAATGCAGGGTTTGGTAAATTGATCCACTGCTCTCTTATTAATAGCAACATGAACTGCCATTTTATATTTGCAACATATTTTAAGTAGACATATTTAAACATCAGATTTAATATAACCGTCATCCAACAAGTTAATACTTGGTTTGTAGAAAGAAAACAAATATCTGGTAACAAATCAGCTATCCTAACCTCTCCTTATGAATTATAAGTAAAAAGATTAATATAATTCCAGTACATATAAGCAGACATAAACAAGAAATCCATTTTCTACATAGAAATGCTGTTTACATTTTTTAGCAAAATGGATATCAGGAACTGTCATAATTCAAAAGAATGTACCACACATAAGGATGATAATAATATTACACATAGAACTGTCACTCCCTGAAATGTAATACCTCAGTTCAATATTATGCCATACCATCATAAAAAAGTGCACTGACCTCAAATACTAAGGTATTGTCCAGCAGAGATCTTTTATCCAAGCAACAAACCACTACTTCAGAGTTGCCTCCCTTTGTACAAGTATGATCTACCGATCCCAGATGACTAGATATTCATTCCATCAACTATTAGTATCCCTTGCAGTTATAGAACCTGGGCCAACTGCAACAGCTCCACTGATATTACTTGAATATCGAAAACGCCTAGGATACTGCTGACATAACATTTCATGATCTGAAAACAAATCCCCAAACAGAATACCTGTTACTCTTTCCAGTGAAAAGAAATGAAGTGTTCAACAAAAGTGAAAACAATATGTTGTAGCACCTGATACATTCATTATGCCTGCAGTCAAGAACAACATACCAATGCACAGAGCTTTGGATAATTTGTGTGCACATAATACCATGACATCACACATGATCAGCGAATAAAAATAGGTGCTTTAAGAATTAAATTAATATATGTTGTGGTTATAAAAAGAACTTAAAATAACATTATGTAGGAAAAAAATTATCTATCAAAATATGCAAAAGAAAAAACACATGCAAATCTGGTCTTGTACCCTTGACATTACCATTAAACTTTTGGGACCTAAACAGTCTTGTAGTATACTGTGACATTTTAAAAACAGGTGTAGGAGAACGAACAGAACTAAATCAACAAGATTATTATGGCTAAATAATTTACATCAGATGTAATGCCATTCATTGTTCTCCATGCCATGCTGAGTATTGTCAGTTGTATGTTGACAGTACCGCCTTCACCTTTAGAGACGTCAGAAAGGATGGGGCACCTTGCCACCATCCACCTTAGCATCATGAGGGTTGGAGTCCACAAAACAACCTTTGTCATATTATGATCATAGGACTTAATAGGATTTGTGACAGTCCTGAGGCACCATTCATAATTTATGGCTAGGGGTGGTGATGATGTTTTTAATGGAGAAGCTCATACAGTACAACCAGAAATTATTGAGAATTTAAGATTGTAATTTTTTAAATATTTTTCACTCATTACTCACGTATAAAATGTGAATATTAGCAGAACATAACTCCAGATTCAAAGACAGGTGAACAGTTAGTATTTTGTCAAGTCACCATGGGCAGCAATGCAGGCAGCAATGCAGGCTTCAATGTGGCAGGGCATACTACTGATCAAAGAAGTTAGAAGGTCGTGGTCCATGCTGTCCCAATATCGGACCACCTCTTCTTTCATTTCAGCAATATTTGTCAGATTTTTCTTATTGACACTTTCCAATGTCCCTCGAGAATATCTGTATACCGCTCACTGTTCATATTCCTTCAAATACACAGATATGCCACCCCACACGTTAAATTTGGGACTGTACTTTGGGCGCTGATACAAAGGTATTTCAGTTTGTTTGGTCCAGAATTTCAGTGTATTAGGAAACAGCCACACAGAACTTTCATCTGAGAAAATCACATTGTCACAGTTAAAAGTTCTATGCTGTAAGCACCAGTTCAACCTCCGCTCCTTTTGTTCAGGTTTCATGATCGGTGATGGAATTCCTCGACTTTTCTGCCAACCCATTGCATGCAAAAGTTCTAATTATCTCCTTACAGACAGCCACAGTTCCTCTATCCATATCCAGCCTTAAGTTTTCTAAACTTCTATAATTTGTTTTTAGAAACAAGAATACCAAGCTGCCTCCTGTCACCGACAGTCAATTTTCTGGGCCTACCTGCGCCTCCCTGGTGCTCAATGCCATATCCATTTTGCAATATTTTTCAAAACACGATAACAGTGGACAAAAGGGATGCCTGTTCCTACTTTGAAATCACTTAAGCTGATCTGATGTCCTTGTTATAATACTCTAAAATCAACTTCCTCTTCTAAATTTGCTGACACTGTCTCCCCAGAACAAAATGGGTGACCCCCACCCTCACCACCCAAAAATCATCATCATCATCATCACCTCCATCCCACCCCACCCCCAAGCCATAAATTATGAACGGTCCCTAATACAGAGATTGTTTCCTAGGACAGGCCCTGGTATTCTGTTATTGAGGGAAGTGTCACTGCATCAGTCGTGGAATGACGGTGAAGGGGACGATGGGACTGGTGGCTTCCAGCTCCATCCCTGTGTTGTGACAGTCGCTGGCTGCTTCAGGCTGGCTCAGGGCTTCTAGCACCATTCCCAGAGAATGCCTGCAGGGAGAGGAAACACTGTAGCATATGTCGCTCTCTGGAAATCATTTACAAGTATAGGCACTGTAATACAGTGTCTTTACTCATTAGATAGGTCAAATTACTTGTTCAAGAATACCACCAATTAGTGTTAGTCTGTTCTTGTATAAAGTAGCACTCAGCAATATCATTGTACAGTCTGTAAATACATCCTGACCTGACACACCATCACTATCATGAGCAACATCCTCCAATGTAGGGATATGAATTTATGATGACAGGCTGTCAACCAAGTTGACATGTCATATACAAGAGGTCAATATGATTTTGAGTCGACTGTTGGAATCTGTTAGATGTATTTGTTTGACGTTAACGCTAAACAGCAGCAGTCTGTAAATAATCAAGTCTGGACAAAACATCATGAGCATCGTTCTAATTGGGATACGATAACATGCATCAACCGTGTCAGCCACCCAGACCATCTGATCCTGCTAGTTGCTTCTTATGCCTCATAGATGTAATTTTAAAGCTCCTCACTAGAGCTGTGACGATACATCGTAGTATTGATAATCGTGATACTTTATCTTACGATAAATATATCGATACTTTTGTTCGTATCGTGATATGTATCGCTAACCTTAAAATTGTTAATGTTCACTAGAAATTGACGGTTATGTAAACATTTACACAGTTACTTGCTATCAAAATATACTTTTTTGAAGAAAATAACTGAAGATAGCATATCGTGATATGCATCGAATTGAATCGTATCGTTCCAAGATATCGTGATACGTATCGTATCGTGACATTTCCGGATCGTCACACCTCTAGTCCTCACCATGATTTATGTGATGTGGGGTCATTGTTCACAGCATCTCTCAACACCTTCTCAGCAAGTTTGTTCTCATTCAAGTAATGTAGCACCATGCCCTGAAAACAGAAATCAACTCCAAACTGCAGGACCAGCATGAAACAGTGCCCCAAGGGTTGTCTACCTAACGTCTCCCAGCATCATCATCTGAATACAGAACTGTGTGAATGAGTATTTCTTAACACCAACAGAACTGAAGATTTCTACAGAAAGTACCTTGTATCAGAAATAATTGCTTAATTTGCTGTAGCGGTCAGTTGGGTTTAACTCCCTTTTGAACAGTATTCCAGTTATGTCTTGGCATGTCAGCTTGATAAGACAGACAAGAGTGTTGTAGACCCTACATCTTTACCACTTTTGTTAAACCCATGGGTATGGCACTGGCAAACCTAGAAATAAAGTAGAAACATCATCCACACGAATTAGGTTTCAAAGCCAAGATTCTAGGTTTCCTGAGTTATGAAGGAATGCCACTCTGATCAGCAATTTGCAGCAGCTTACATGACCGGGCCACCTGTCTCCCCATGTGCTTTAACAAAATTAAATGGTAAGTACCACTTACTAAGTGTTGCAGAGACTTTGTGTGGCCTGGGTTGATAGACACTGCGTTCTCAAAACAAACTTTGGCATCATTATTCCGCTGCTTGTGTTCATACACTCTTCCTTTCTGCAAGATGGAGAAAGACGTTAGACATACCTAGATCTGTTCTTGAAGAACCAGTGCATATTAGTGTTAACATAAATTTGGGTTTGCTTTTCAAAGTTTTCTAATACCCTACTTCCAATTGATAATATGCATCATCCCAATTTAAACAAGTCATCAGAAGATGACATTGAGAAGTGTCTGAAATTAACCTCATCCTTCAATTGTCATACTTGACCACACCACTATACAGACATCTGTGCACTCTTCATGCACCACACCACTATACAGACATCTGTGCACTCTTCATGCACCACACCACTAGACAGACATCTGTGCACTCTTCATGCACCACACCACTAGACAGACATCTGTGCACTCTTCATGCACCACACCACTAGACAGACATCTGTGCACTCTTCATGCACCACACCACTATACAGACATCTGTGCACTCTTCATGCACCACACCACTATACAGACATCTGTGCACTCTTCATGCACCACACCACTATACAGACATCTGTGCACTCTTCATGCACCACACCACTATACAGACATCTGTGCACTCTTCATGCACCACACCACTATACTGACATCTGTGCACTCTTCATGCACCACACCACTATACTGACATCTGTGCACTCTTCATGAAGAAACAATTCAGTTTAATGAATAACAGTTGTTCATATAAAGATAAATTAACAGGCCAGTTATACAGTCAAGAGTGTTAGGAAGGTCCACCAGCGAGGAGTAACTTACTATAAAGTAAACCTGATGTGAGAGAGGGAAGATGGTGGATGTTTCCTGTACACATGCTTCAGCTTCAGTCACCTTCTGTAGACTCAGGTACAACTCCGCTGTAACCAAACACACACTGCCTTGTACTACATTGGCTGGTACTACACCATCTACATCACATCAACTTGGTTGGTTACATGTATCAAGGAGCTGGCATGTCATTCCTCACAAAACCAGGTCTATCACAGTGAGTGAAAGCATTACAGTTTCTGACACTCTTGTATGTACATAATCTGAATCAAGACAATACAGGTAACACAATCAGTCAGATCAATCATAGATACCACTTTTGTCACTTTTGGTCGGAACAAGTATTTTGTAAGCTGGGGCCTGGATCAGTTACAAAGCCCATAACTTGAAGCACTTTCAATTCTGTTATGCAATGTCACTGACAAACTAGATTCTCATCATCTTCATACTGATAATGCTCAACTAGCACATCTCTCTTTACATGATATTTGTATTCATACAAGCATAAAGATATTGACATAATACTCATCAAAATGGACAAACAATAACTATTACCTCAATGTAAGAATCTATAACCAATTTCCATTATGAAACACAGTAGATAAACATGAAGGAGCCTACCAAGATGCAGCCATATCTGAGCTTGCAGCATCCATGACTGCTGGGAACCTGGCCGAGGCTGGAAGCTGCTGTTCATGGAAGACGCCACCTCTGACAACGCGCCCGCTCCACACGAGACGCTGCCACCGACTCTGCTCTGATTGATCCTGCAACATACAACAGGCCTTGCTCATTCCAGAACCAGTCATTGTTTTCCTTTATCTGAAATAACCAGAGCACAACAAGGTGCCTTACTGGTCTTTGGAAATGGTTTGGTTTCATGCACCTCACACTATCATCTAAATCTGTATCTGAAAAGTCAGAATAGCCAAATAAGAACTACTTTGAATATGAATTATATTCTTGTTTTATTGCAAAAAAGTCATGATATATATGATATTTCTGAATATAGATCCGTTATTATTTACATCTTGCATGACAAATTTTACATAGTTTTTTCAGTTAAGTAAATAATTTTTTTATTGAGACACTCCTTTGTGTGAAAATTAAAATTGAAAATTTCAAACTGTAAATAAAAAGGTCAATAATCTACTAACACAAAGATTGATCAAGGAGAAACCCTGCAAAATTACGAACATAATAAAGATTGTGCAAAATAACAAAGACCAATAATATCTATAACCAAACTGCATGCAGAAAACCATCAACCTCTGTCTAAACCAAATAATAGAAAGGTAAGAGTTATCCATCTTGAAGCTGCCGTCTTCCGTAGCATGGGTACGTAGTTACAATGTACATAATGTGAAACAGATGCAGAGAGTGGCCTGTGTTGGTACTGGGGAGTAAAGCATGCAGAGATGTATCTGATGCTGAAGCAAGAGTAAACTTCCCCCTGCGCAAGTTAGTGAATTCATGCACCATGTCAACTGGGCCAAGTAATAGCATACAGCAGGAGGTATATCTGATATAGACATATGCTGTTGATCAGGACATATGCTGTTAAAGTCACTGATTGGAAATAAGTTATAAGCTGTAGCTTAGCAAAGCTGAACTGATTTTTCCTGAGTTAGATGCGATCATCGATTATGCTAATGTACTACACATGTCATTAAACACTTGTGTAACAGTCAGAGTATGTCTGTTTCTTGTTTAACATCCCACATAGCAATATTCCAATCATAAACGGTGTCCTGAATAATCGAGTCTGGGTTGGAAAATCAATATTGTGAGCAGAGATCCAAGCAGTCTGGATATAAGGACAAATACTTGACCCATTTGGTTCTTTCAGGGCTCCAGATAACTTTTGGGGGTGCGAGTGTACTTACACATCATATTGCCAGTGGAGGTGTACTGAGAAGTTTGAAGGAGTACTGACATGTTTTTGTGTGAGCGAGTTGGTGATGTGGCCGATTCATAGATCACTATTTCCAACCATGTATTTGTATTTGAAGACGCATGAGAAATAACTAAGCGACCGTGTGATGCGCGAAATGTCACGTCCGACTGGATATAAATAGGAACAGTGTAGTTTTTAGCCAATCGAAAAATAGTGACGCATATCGTTGCATGGCAATGCAAGGGATGCCTACTGTCGGGGTTTCCTCATGTGTCAAATTGTGTTTCGCAAAAGAAACTTTACAAGTATTTATCTGAAATAGATTTCCATTTGCACGATACGCACGGAAATTAAATGTTAGACATACAAAGGTATTTATGTGCATACACGATACGCTTGAAATCTTATATTACGTCGTACTTAATTGATTTTGAGGTGTACATTACGCCTGTACGCCCCTTATCTGTAGCCCTGTCATTTTTTTAAAACCCGGACAGGTTGTTGGGGACATACTCTTACCAAACTCCCCATGGGGTGCAATATACAAGAAATCACCTTAGTTATGAAATAAGTTGCTTGTCTCTAAACAGTGACCAATCTCTTTCCTGCTGACCATTTCCCATCAAAGGCTGAGCCCCAATTTGCCAAACAACCCATAACCGTGTATAGAAAATACATAATCTTCAGTCTGTGTAATTACTACCACTTTTCGGACACTTATGAGAAGATCTCAGTGTATGTGTGATGGAATCATCTCTTGTAAACAGATAGCCTGATTTGGTAAAACATGTCACAGACACATGGTAGATACCGATACCATTTCCTGAACATGGGATTCAGGATGTGCATATTTTTTTCCCCAAATACACAAAATGCCAAATGTATCACTGTGCAGAGAACTCTCAAACTTAACCACTCTTACAGTAAAAACATGTTTGTGCTTCCTAACTTTGTCTCTGTTAAAGGGCATTTAAGCTCCTGTGTTACCAATATTGTATTACATCTGTGTACATGACATCCATTGGCATACCGTATATTACCGTCTATAAGCCGACCCCATAGATAAGCCGACCCCCAAACTTGACCCTTAAAATCAGTGTCAAAATGGTATGTTTCCTGCATAAGCAGACCCCCCGCGATGGGGTCCTAATCGCGGCAAAGATAGGTAATAAACTTGATTTAAACATTTAAAAGGACAAAGGAGAGCAGTCATATTTAATCAACAATCAAGGTGTGCTGAAGGGTTTTCCTGGAGGGTGGAGAATGATGTACTATGGGAAACTAAAATATAACTGATTTGGGTATTACAGATAGAAGACAGATTTTTAGATACATACCGGTAAGTCAACATTTCTTACGACCAACAGTGATAAAATCTCATGTCATTTTTATATTTTACCAAATGGTAAAACAGAGTTCGAAAATATTTTGAGGTCAAAATCATGATTTTTTTCTAACAGGCAGCCTCATAAACAAATAAAACATAATGAATTAATAATATTTAGCTTCATCACAAAGTGATTTCTGTGATTCTATCACAGCCTCAAGATAAGTTAACAAATAGTCAAAGCCACCAGTTTTGTGAAGTAATGAAAGAATGCAACTCTTCCATTCCTGTTTGGCTAATATGGCACATAGCGAACTGCGGATCACTGTTAGATGAGAGGGGTTAAATTAGTAATAACATACAGTGGTAGAGAGAGAAACCATTGTTATCACTTGGATGCAAGTCACTTACCTCGCACTAGCCATGAAAGAGAAACAGCAACAAATTGTCAGTACTGGTGGATCCACACTGATCTCAAGTATGTCAAACAGTCACTGTTTGTTTAACCCTTTGCCTTCCTTGCAGACAATTATACATACTGAAGCATTATCAAGTGACAAGGTTTCAGGTGTGCCAGAGCCGACTGGTTAATTACAATACAGCCAAAAATCCAACATCCACTTACCAGTTTTTGAAGTGATTATCATGTACTAATTTGACAAGGAAAAACAAATATGTCTAAATATATCTGTGAAGCTGTATCAGTTTTCCTGTAAATAGCATTATTTGACTGGTGAGTGAGCAAGTATGGTTTTATGCCGCTTCTAGCAATATTCCAGCAATATCACGGCGGGGGACACCAGAAATGGGCTTCACACATTGTACCCATGTGGGGATTCGAACCCGGGTCTTCGGCGTGACGAGCCAACGCTTTAACCACTGGGCTAACCCACCAACCCTTTGGTAGGTGGTCCTGGCAACCAGGGACCACTTGCACAAAGTGATCTCAATGCTACGATGATTGTAACTCCATACTGTAACTTAGACTCAAGATAGTCATAGGGCTAAGATTGCTTTGTGTGATTGGGCCCTAACTTGCTGTTAATCTATCCTGCACCAGATTTTTAGCTTACTACCAGTGATAATAATGAAGTCAAATTATGAATCATCTTTCAGCAGGAATTTTGTATTGACAATTAAAGTGATTACACTAAAACCTGAGGCTGACATGAACTGAACTTATCGAGGGATGTACTTCATAATGTAATTTGTCTGTGGAGTTGTCATTCCCAGTCAGTAAGCCCCAGGTTTCAATCAAGTTACAGAAAAATATGGTTAGCACTTCTAGGCACCCATAAGGGAAAATACATATCAACTTTTCGGATCTCAGGTGACATAAACATGTCATGTAGCCATGGCGACAAGAAAAGACAAGTGTTCTATTTATTGTTCTTATTAAGTTGTGTTTTACTTTGAAGACCATGTCACTGAGTCACCATTGTAAGGTGAAACATTCAGTTTACATTTTCTGATAAATTTGCAGGTAGTATTCCATCACTAAATACAACATGAAGTTGGACCTTTCCAACAACAACATACTGCATATGACAGCCAGAACATCCACATCGTCATGGAATATGTTTACAAGTCTTATATACAGTGTGGATCCTGGCAAACAGTAAGAGAGACAACCAGTATTGGAGATACATTCCTCACACATCTATGAAGAAATACAGTACTACATTCCACACAACTATATCCATTTTTAGTTACCTCAGTAGACTTATATGTTAGTAATGTGTAGCATACAAGTGAACCAAACATTAAGATATAAATTGTATAGTGTGATAGTGAGATGCTGTGAGACATGAGAGACACAGAGTAATATTTACCTGAGAACTTTTCACCGATTTGTTACACATATACATTACACATAAATTCAACATTTTTCTAAATATAATGATACATAAAACACTTTATAACCAAGATCATAATTCGAAGTATACGTACATGGACACCTATATACAGTATCTCAAAGGGGTTGGTACTTATTTTGAGCATGAATATAAGCCAATGAATCTATTCATATCAGTTCCTATCTACATTCCTAGCTATGGCCTGTACACGACTACTGCGGTATTGTATGAAGGTAGCTACAATGTTGAACTACAACAGACACAACAGTACAGACTGAACATCATTACCTGATCCTCGCTCACTGAACTCATTGATCGTCATCTGGGCTACGCTTCTTCGATCAAACGCATTCCGGTCTGTTGCAGTGCCTCTTCTCTCTGATCCTCTGCAGGTATCAGACAAGAAGTCAATTAGGACAGAAGACCAGTCTCATTCAACCAGATGAAAACTCTAATTAAAACAATCAATTACTTGTGTTGATATCAGTCTGTTTTATCAATACTAAACTACATTGTATGTCCTTTCTAAAAGCAGATATGATTATTTTTAGTTTCAGTATTTTTAGTTTCGTATCACTGGGACGTGCTTATAACTACTGTTATACTCTTCAATTATATAAAATATTGAAATTTTACTAGTTTGTCCTGTGTATGCCAGCTATACTATGAACTTCAGCAAAACGATTCATTCCTTTGTTGTTCAAAGCTAACAACAGCTGCGATTTTCGAGCCATATGACAATGGTCTGCAAATAACTGAGTTGTCACAAGACAGTCCATTGATTGATATCATGAGCATGGTTCTACACAACTGTGTCAGTGTGCCTAACCGAACAATTCCATTATTGCCAGAAGTTTATGAATCAAGTAAGTAAGTCTAGCTAAGATAGCACATTTCGGACAGATCTGACACACAATGAGGTAATTAGGGAGACAAGCAGGATGGCTTTAGACCTCATCTGCCCCAGAATCAAGGGTGCAGGGGTGGAAATAAATTGCTAGTGTACTCTGGTACAGTGGCACATGTAAAATCACTTGCCCTGATAATTTTTCCACTATACCGTCTGTTTTCTTGTTGATTTTTTAAATAAACAACATAATTAACATTGGAAAGTCAACTGGACACCGATACAGTGTGATATAGAAATTTGCTTGCCCGACAGAAAAAAACACTGGACTCGGTCGTCGGGCAATGGGTTTTTTCCACCCCTGGGGTGTACTGATTTATAGTAGTCTGTGACTTAGCCTCTTGTGTGAAGCCACACCAGCAAAACTTTTTTTCAGTCTGGTTGGCTTTGCCAATAGAATACCGCACAGTAACCCTAAGATCCACTGAAAATAGTATCAATGGACAGGTTCTAGCAGACTCAAAAGTTTTGATCACAGAGTAAATGAGACTGTAATCCTTTACATCAAATAATTTCCATTTTCTGGTTGCACTCACTCTTCACTGTCTATTTCATGGATGTCCTTCCAGAGTTTCAGCATCAGTTTACATGTGACCAGGGCTTCCTCTGGGCCATACATCACCTCCTCCAACTTCGACTTGGTCAGCAGCAAACTGTCACAATCACAGGTCTCACTTCATACATCATGTCTATCAAGCAAGTCTTGAAGGGTTGTTAATAGTGAAGGTACAACAGTTTTCCACATGTTTGTATTTGTTTCATGCCACAACCAGTATATTAGAGTAATATTTCATCAGGCTGTAGAAAGTACAAACCGCCATGACACACAACCCACAAAGACTGAGCCTGTCTGCCTAGTCTCTTCTAACAACTATCATATGTTAAGGCAACTTTTCAATATGGAAATCCCCAAGATGATTGAACGTTTTCCACGTCATATCTTTTCTTTCATGGTTTTGAAAAGTAGATCTACACACACAGGATTTAAATGTACTATATAAACCATCATTTATCCAACTAATGTAAATTCCATAAAAGAAGTTGAAGAACATTTGATTCTTTCACGTTACCTCTGTAATGACACAACTGCAGTATGCAGGGCTACAGATAAGGGGCGTACAGGCATAATGTACGCCTCAAAATCAATTAAGTACGACATAATATAAGATTTCAAGCGTATCGTGTACGCACATAAATACCTTTGTACGCCTACATTTAATTTCCGTGCGTATCGTGCAAATGGAAATCTATTTCAGATAAATACTTGTCAAGTTTCTTTTGAGAAACACGATTTGACACATGAGGAAACCCCGACAGTAGGAATCCCTTGCGTTGCCATGCAACGATATGCGTCACTATTTTTCGATTGGCTAAAAACTACACTGTTCCTATTTATATCCAGTCGGACCTGACAATTCGCGCATCACACGGTCGCTCAGTTATTTCTCACGTGTCTTCAAATACAAATACATGGTTGGAAATAGTGATCGATGAATCGTCCAGACAAACCACATCACCAACTCGCTCACACAAAAACATGTCAGTACTCCTCAAAATTCTCAGTACACCTCCACTTGCAATATGGCTAAGTACACTCACACCCCCAAAAGTTATCTGGAGCCCTGGTATGAATTTGGTGTCCTTACACTTCTTGTAAGCGGTATGTGTACTAATCATGTTATTATTGAGGCCTTTAGCTTTACAAATACTTCTCTTGGCATAAAAGTAATGGCATAAAAGTAATTGCAATAAATGTGATGATTTGCTTGTCCTGCACATTGTAAGACTAGCCTTGAGTTGATTACCTGAGGTTATCAGGGTACTCCTCCAGAGCTGCATGTATGAGTACCATCGCCTCGTCCAGCTGTTTCTGTGCCGTCAGTAGCAGCACCAGCAGGTGGAGTGAGTGGATGTGATCACTGCGGTACTTCAGGGCAAGCTTCACATAGTTCAAGGCTTCAGGAATCTAGATAAATCAGTGTAGGTCAGTTAGCTGATAACAGATGCAGGGAAAATGCATCAGAGAAGTGGGATCGAGTTTGTCTTCACAGAATAACATCATGAAACTCTTGGGGACATTAATTCCCATTGTAAGATTTATTCACAAAAGTATGAAAATTCATGCCTGAAGACTTGTTATTACAAACGGTGTATCTCAAATGATCACAAATAAGGGTACTAGCTTTGATGACTCACATGTCTCAGAATAGCTAGCTGTAGCGACAGATGGAAGAGAGCCAGGTAGTCATATGGGTCGGCTGTGTGGGCTCTGAAAACAAACCACCCATCAATAGCACAAGAACATTTTAAGGGTTCAGTCTGCAAATGTTGACACTAGTTTAGTAAGCTCAGCTTAATAAGTCCAAATGATATGATTTAAGAATTGAGACTAAGAGTCAAGTTTGGGTTAGTGGACTCTAAAGATTTTGGCATAGGCTGGATTTTCTTTACCATCATCATCGAAAGAGGCAGGAGGTATAGTCCACAGAAGGTTATTCTACATTTTTCTCACTTTTGGATAAACTATGATGGCCTATCATTTTACAGAATTCAACTTCTTCAAGCAACCACAATACAGAATACTGCCCTGAAGATATTTCCAATATGTTGTATTACATCTGTTAAACTTTCCTGACTTAAGATATGCGGGTATTTGTAGAATTATCTACACTGCTAAGAATAATGTTAAATGATAATATTAATACATACATACATACATACAAATATTTGTAAAGAGCTTTTTATCAATCTAATTGCTCAAAAGCGCTATCTGAGTCCATATACCTGTTATGTTTGTTATTCCCTGCCAATATCTCGGGACATGAAGCAACACCTGACCTTCTCAAATACAGTATTTAGAGTACATTGTTTGATATTACCTCTGCGGGAGGTATAGCACAGTAAAAATCTCTCTATTCAGTTTAACACAAACATCTTCTTAATATTTTATTTGTTGTCAAAGATAAAGACCATACACTGAACTTTGATGAAATGAATATCAAAGGCGTCACATACTTCTGAAATGCTGCGAGTGCGTTTCTGTGCAGTATCTGTCTCTCTCCCTGGAGTTTGACCTCATGAGCCTTCATGCTGTAGCCGATACCCAGTGACGTATGGGCCCGGGACAACATTGGGTGGTCCTGCCCAACCTCTAATGCATGCTTGGACCACTGGATACCCTCATCATACTGCCCAGAAAATATTGGAACAGTTAACAATATATTGCTGCTGACATACTATTTATTTCTATCAATCAAATACAGGAATTTCAGTCTTTGTGAGACATACATATTTTGAGGCATTTTGTTTTAATTCAAACTTTTCTATTCCTTGCCTCTGAATGTGCCTCTAAACGACACAAGGCCGTGGGGTAGCCTCGTAGTTAAAGCGTTCACTCTTCAAGAAGTATTTTTACCCATTCCACATATGGGTATAATTTGTGAAGCCAATTTCTGGTGTCCCCAGCTGTGGTATTGCTTAAATATTGCAAAAAGCAGCATAAAATCCTTACTCACTCTAAATGACAAAAGAAAGTAGCTACTGCATATTACCTGATGGAGATACTCAAAACACAGCTTGGCAGCCTGTAATGACACAGTGGGGTTCTCAGGCTGGAGTCTTGTACATTCTCGTAGAACCAATACAGCACGGGAATACTGGAAATTAAACAACAGAATAATCACTACAACAAAATCGCCAGCTACAGGTGTTTGACAGCTCATCATGATGGAAGTGTGGTTACTGACATGGTACCATGTTTGTATGAAATGTACCATTTACAGATACAAACACTACTCAAAGAAGTCATGACATGACAGATTAACCATATGTTTAGTAATTTGACAAAAATTTAAACCTTGAATTCTGATTCAGTAATATATCACTAATGGACACACATTAGATCAATGTTGAAGATTTTCATTTTAATCAGCAGAGACCTACCTTGCCTGCACATATGAGAGAATTAGCAAACTGGTGCCAGATATGAAACTCTTCAAAGGAAAACCTCATTGCCCTCTCAAATGACTGAAATGTAAACCGTCAACAATTACAAATCTGGTACATATCTGGAACCTACCAATAATAAGAGTGTTAAATCATTTGCAGTTACACCAAAAATTATATTAGATGTCCTGTAAGATTTCATCTACTTCATCAACACAATCAACTTTCTTGAAGAATATCAAACGAATGCAACAAACAAATTTACTTTCAAAATTTTGAAATTGCAGAATTGCCTGCAAAGTTAACTTTGCTTTTAATGCCACACTCAGCAATATTTCAGCTGCATGTCGCCAGTGTGCGAAACTTAAATCAGGACAAGACAATCCAGTGATCAGTATTGTGAACACTGATCCATACCAATGGGGCGTGACGACACACTATCAACAAAGTCAATGCATCTGTCTTCCTGATCCATTTGGCTGCCTTTAACAACCAGCATAAGTTGCTATTGGCCTATTATAACCCAGACTTCCCATCATATCCAGATATAATCAGCATGACTGCCTCCTACATAAACAAGCCTTACATCTGCCAGTGTTGTGAACTGGGCCCTCTTGACCAGGGCCAGAGCCAGCATGTCATACACTGCTGTAGTGTTGTGGAAGGCGTGAAGTCTTGTCTCCGACAACTCCTCAGATCTCTCCAGGACAGCTTCTCTTGTAGCCTAGTTCAAACATTTACCAGCTATATTCTTTTCATCACTATTGCCAGTGTGATAGTGAAGTCAAGTATTTAGTGAAAAATATTTACAAACACTAATGTGCACAGAGTTTAGCTTAATGAACCCAGTGAGTTCATCACAGATGTTGAAGTGCTCTTTTACTTTATTACAATGGAAGTATATATCTACTAATTAATGAATACTTGTTTGTGTAAAGAGAAAAATTGACAGTCACACAGGGGTTCAAAAATCCCATCGCCCGACGCCCGGGACAAGTCACTTTTCATTTCGGGCAATCAAATAATGGTATCTTACTTGTCCATGAGCTACTAGATCATTTCCACTTATGGTTTCAAACTGCAAATCAACTTGGATTTAACTTCATATCTGCTCAAAATGTAGCTATTTCACAATGATAATAAAGTAGAGTTATCTTTCTCTGCTTTTTATCACTTTTCAATAAATAGTCCAGTAAACATTAACATCAAATACCATGTTGCTTCTTTCTTTCATAATTACATCATCATGATTTTGTCATAAAATCAGGGCAAGTGGAAAATTAGTCAGGACAAGTTACTTTCTTAAAGCCACTTGCCCTGTGGCAAATGGCTTCTTTATGTTTTTGAACCACTGTCACAAAATGTCTTTCACTGTAACCATACTTAAACTGTTTCAAAGTTCTTGAGCATGTCTTAGAGGTGACAATGCTGGTTGTGCCCTGTGGTTTCAGAGTTACTTCAAGAACGGTCACACTGACCATATATATTCATCAATATTTGGAAGCATAATTCATTAAAGTGCCATTCATGTAACTTACAACAGCTTCAGCAATTAGTAGTAGTAGTAATGCTTCTTCATTCTGATCCTCTGGAACGAATGATCTGCAAATAAAAAATGATACATTAAAGCGTTTTCTTTTCAATTCTTAGTTTACATTAAGCAAAGTCAGCAACATCCTTCACCTGAAGACATCCACTTCAGTCACACAGCACTGTTGCAACACCTCTGACAGGAATATTATTTAGGCAAAAAAGGGCCCTTATATTGATTGCACCATAACCTATCCTTTACACTTTTCAGACCTACCTATCACCAGGGTAAATCTTTGGTTTTGGTCCATTAGGCTTAGGTGATCGGACATCTAGTGGGATGTAGGATTTCTCACAAACACCTCGCATCAGTACTTCAGCCAGCTGACGAGCCAGTGTCTGGAAGAAAAATGCAACTACTAGTTTTTGAAAATAAAACATAATAATGATATTGGCAGCATATTCAAGAGTATTTTTTCTAGTTTAGTTTATCTCGATACATTTCAATACTTACAAGTCTGATATCCTGTGTAAATCTTGATTCAACTGCCCTCAGAAGCTCCCTGAATCTTTGAATCCCTTTGTCTAGTTGCCTAAAAATAAAACAATTACGTTCATTTTTTTGCAAACTATCAAATTCAAACACACTGACTATATTCAAACATATGACATGGACAAGATGGAAGCAACTGAATCATTGTTTGGATCTATGTGTTTTCTCATTGTTAGGGTCATTTGTCAATTCCACCTACTCGTTTAAACATTTGAGTTCTTAAGCTCCAATACATATCATAACAGATGCTTAAGAGTTTCTTCTCTTTCCAAATGAAATGTTCATAGTAAGTCTACAGAAGTAACTTGTCAGACAATGAAGTTTCAAAAATTGTTTCAAGAGGGTGACCAAAGTCTGAAAACAAATGTGCTTGTCATAACAGTATTGTCAGAATGTTAGTGTAAAGTATGTGTGCATGAAAACAGAGAACATTTTTCATGTTTTTTTAGTATTTTTTACACAGCCTACACCATGGCAATGGAAAACAGTACATACCCTCTTTTAATATACAAAATGGGAGATTCCTGAATAGCTTGTTCCAGCAGACAACAGACTGTTTCATCTGGAGACAGCTGACCCTGACTCCCCCCTGGGTTCATGCCGCCCTGACAACGGTCTCTCTCTTGCAGGTAAATCAAAGCCAGATCACCAGCCTTCTCAAAGCAAGAAATGATTTTGTCTTCTCTTTCTGCAGCCTTGTATTTGCTGGTTGTTGGTGGAGCCATCTTTTCCAAGCACATTCCTGATATGAAAACATAAACTGGCTAATTTTGCCTCGCAAAAAGAGTGCAAAATGATAAGATGGTGAGAAAAGTGGATTCGAATTAGCTGTCAATTGGAACAGTACTTTAATTATACTATATAGGGGTTTCATACAACTGTCATCAACATTACAGCTATGAGGGACGTTCAAACAACATATGTGGGTAATGTGGTTAACGAGATATTAGCCATCAAACCACATAGGGGTATAATTTTTCTTAAGAAATTGCAGAAAATGAAAAACGATCCGTCATTTAGTACCTCTTGGATAATGGTAGGCCCTCAGATAATATCATATAAAATATGTTCAGTATAGTATTGAATGACTTCCCATCATAATCAACATTCAAAGATTTGGATTGCTTGATTTATATTTAGATTGGGGCTGTTTTTCAAGGACACCCCCATTTTAATCTTTCAAAAACATTGTGTCCAGATATTCAAGCTGGCACTGTTTACAACATATTGAGAGCTGACACTTGTGTGACCATTCAGTATTTAGTCTGAACCCTTGGCATCATGTATGAATAAGTGAAAACATTACAATAAGTTATGTCCATATGATACGTCATCTGAAAGGGGGATGGGTAGTGTCTCCAAAAGCTCTTTCAGTAAACATGAAGGGGGAGGCACTTTAACAAGTGATTGTAGTTTCAAATTGCTTTTTATGCACTTTAACATCCAAGTTTGATTCTAGCGGACTTCTGCCTATCTCAAACAGACAATATGTTCTTGCATATTTTGTTTCCTGAAGTTTGTGATGCATTTATTGCAGATTTTGCATTTCTGGGGGTACCAAGATAAAAACCCAAACAAAATGGGAATGGTGAGGGTGGAACTAAGCAAAACCAATTTAGTTGAGGTTGACAGATAATATGTAGAAATATAAAATATAAAAACAGCTGCATTTGTATCATTCTCTAGGTAAGGCTGACTACTTTGAACGCCCCTCGTATGTGACCTGGTGGACCAGCCTCTATGAAGCAACCACATTTGTTTCATAAGAACAACAATAAAATCTTACTGTCAGTAAGTTAATGTTGTTTACAGCCTCAGACTCTAACCATTGCATTTTGGTGAACAGGCAAACTACCCAATACGGAGTACTGATATTGGTAATACTGCAGTTCTGCCCTTCTCTCTCTTTCGCAGACGAAGTAGTACTAAAATAACATTACATATCTTACATTGTAAAGACATGCATCAATGCCATCCTGTCAGTCAGAAATATTAGAGCTTGTAACTATTTGATCCTTCAAGTCATCTCTATCGTAATGGGACCGCCTCCGTGGTGTAGTGGTTAGAGCGTCCGCCCGGAGAGCGGAAGGTCGCGGGTTTCGATCCCCGACCGCGTCATACCAAAAGACGTTAAAAAATGGTACTTGTTGGTCCCTGCCTGGCGCTCGGCATTAATGGGTACAACAAGGACTGGTCGGCTCGGAGTCAGTATAAGGTGTCTGAGTGGGGTATTCATGCTTCACTGCGGCATGGTATCTCAGTGGGCTAGCACTATAAAACCAGCTTCAGTCTGGGCTAGTACAAGCACCCACACATTAACATACACACGCATGCACGTCGTCATATGAGCAAAATATTCTCAAGCACGACGTTAAACCCAATTTCACCTCACCTCACCTCTATCGTAATGTACTAGGAATTTATTTTGACCTGAGCTCAACACACATTCCTATCTATTGAGCAAGCAGAACCAAATTACCTCTGATAGCAAATGATTCTGCATACATATGAATGAGTCTGTTTGGACAGGAATGGTATGTAACCGAGTCCAGACCAGCCTTATCCAGTAGTTCATATGCTGTTTGGTAGTTGCCTCGACAAAAGTTTAACTTAGCAAGTAGAAGCTGAGCCTGTTGGCCAATCTGAAGCAAAAACATAGCCTTATATTATAAACATATTTGCCTTCAGTTTTCATGCATTCAGGTTTCTTTTTGTATTAATGAATATTGTCTGTATTATTACATAAATTATTACATAAAAGACACCCATACTAATAATTGATACTGCTGATCTGATAAAATGTTGTGAAATATAGCTTTTCAATACCTGAGTCTTTGAAATAGAAATAAAGTCACATATATAAGCATAAAGGTTTGATTTTTGTTAAAGATCATATTCATACAAAATCTATTGAGAAACTCACCTCCTCATAATTTTTTTTAAATACCTTTGATTTTCTTTGTGAAAGTTTAGCAAGTTGATCTTCCACATCTGCTAAACTGCTCTTAGCCTTAGTAATATTCCTCTCTGTTGGGGGATGCTCTTCTGCATATTCTTCCAATACACTTTCTGCTATGACTAAATTAACAAAGTCTCCTGCAAAAGATGAAACTGCTTAAAACTGTTGCCATGATCTTGAAAAGACAACTATGCAGAGAGACAGCACCATATTAAATATGTTAAAGGATGTGGTAAGCATGAAAATTTATAAGCTGCTGAAAAGATTAAAAAAATAAATATAAGTATAAAAACCTTTTTGAGATAAAAAAGTCAAATAAATAACACATAAAAAAGTCAAATAAATTGAAAAGTTTAAAGAGAAACTCCCACCATATTAATAACATACCATTTGGTAAGAATCCATTGTTTTCCAAAACAGAATCATCTAATAAGCAAACAGATGTTTCATTGAATTCAGTCAGAAATATTAAGCATCCTCCTAATAACTTGACATATGGGCAATGATAATGCTATTATCATGGTTATCACCAAGACAAATATTCTATCATCAATGAAATTAAAACTTGGAAAACATTATTTTCCTTCATGCTACAGATTTGTCACTACTGACAAAAATGGTGTTCGACTAATGTTTTTCTAAAATCAGTGATCCATAGATGACAGGGATTTTTCAGATTTAAGCGCTCTTTACAGCATACTTAAAATATGAATGCCAATCATTTCCAAAGGTTGTGTACAAGTATAACAAGATGTTGTTCTTGTGTGATTTTGCAGTTGGCCAGGTGTTACCATGCATAAACATGTGCGTGTCCACAGTCTACCAATCAAGTGCAGCACATATCGTGTATATCAACTTAATGTAAGTTACTTCTGGAACCAATTTCATTTGTTTGTTTAATGTGACAGTTAACATGATTACAGGGTAGTACACTGACCATTTTTGATGTTTCTAAATCATGCATGAAACAATTTCTGAGCACAATGTCACACCTTAAGTTTATGCACAATTCATTACTCAAAACAAAACAATATTGTGTATCTGACAACCCAAGTGCTGCAGACCACTTCCTTATTGAGAGCCAAGTACCTCTGTTATATCATCACATCTTACACAGTTCATTTAAGACATTGCATATATTTCTCATTTGTTTGATTTTCATTGTGAAAATATCCTAAAACATGATAAACTCTTGGAACCAAACTCTTTCCATTTGCATAGTAGTCCTTTGTATGCATCAGTTGTACAGCTCAATCGGTGTTACTACCAACGCTCTAAGTACACTTCGCGTAACCTTGATTCATGGATATAAGGAAAATGCGGCGAAATTCATATTTTAAATGCATCCTTTCATTGTGTATACGCACTGATTATTTTATTCATTGATTCAGCAAATTGAAAATGCCTAATATTCCACTCGTGAATGAAACGTTTGTTTACGGAAGCCATTTGCAATCATCACCCATTCGTGTGCCCACAAAATGTGACGTCACCTTGTTTCGTGGATTACGTAGTCGGTTACTTTATACCACTATGTACGACATCCCACTACAGTAAGTATTGACACCAAGTAAAGCAGACAACGAGAAGTGAGAATGTTGGAGCTAAGTGAGAATGTTGGAGCTAACGGTATCTTTTTTACTTGACATTTTGTAAAAATAAAATTGGTAATGGTGGTATTAGTGATTTGGGGCTTTTATCTAAATGCTGGACAATTATATTTAGTGCACTTCGTGTAATGTAGAGTTTCGGAACTTTTTTGTCAGCGAGGCGTGGCATTGTATGTACATCAAAAGTACCGCTTCATGACGTCAGTCGAGACTTAATTTACGAGCTGGCATGATAATTTCCGCGATCCACGAATCAAGGTTATCCACGAATTTAGGTTACGCTTCTGTACTACAGTACATAGAACTAGCAATAGAGTCACTTTGACAAGTAAACTTATACTGTCATGTACGTCATTGTTGCAGTTGTAATAAAATTTATGAAAACCACATCAGAAAGCTTACATTAGGCTTTCATTAGGGCCATCTGTGTTATTTCAGAATAAGTGTGTTTGTTTACAATCAAGAGAAAAGACTTGTCATGTCATAAACCGTGTGGTTAGTTGAAATGAATGGGTAAGCATAACGTTTCATTTACTGGGGTAAGGGTAGTTTTGTTAGTAATGAATGGAGCTTCATTTTACAAAATGCATGGATACCTAAACAACCAAGTTCACTGATGTGATGGGTGTGTAACAACCCTTGTCACAAGGAAATGGTGTGATCATGGCCTTAATATTATCATCATTAGATAGACAGACTGATAAAACGCGCTTTAATTAAGACCAACCTAAATCCGGTGTCTTTTGAGACAACTGTCTAGCTAATTCCTTTGCCTTTTTCCAGTTTGCTTCGCCCCTGTACTTTTCAATTTCAGACTCAAATCTCTGAGATTTTGCTTTCGACGCCATGACACCGGAAGATGGTCGTCTGCTAATAATCTCTAAAAATATCGGATATTTCAATAAGACACATTATTCAATCAGTATATTTAAATAAATCATGGAATATCAACCTTCTTAATATTTATGTAGTATAGGAGAGTGATTTAAAGACCCAGTCGAAGTCATTTCGTGTACAAAAATGGGTGTTTGCTAGTTTTCGATTCGAGATTAAGACCACCATGCATTCCCCACGTGTCTTCCTTTTTGAGGTCCGCCATAGCCACACTCAGGTGCGCTGTCGAGATTTATAGAAAAATGCTAGCTGCTGGCTTGATATGATCAAATAACACAACATTTTAATATCCCTCTTTTACACATACCTATTGCGATTCATATTATTCGGATAATTGGAGAATTTAATGCGAAAATGTAGATTTATGAGTCAATCTTTGGGGAAATAAGCGCGACCATGTTGCACAACTTCTGAATTGGTAATGAATCTTTTCATAGATGTCCATGGTTGTTTGGACGATTTTCTGTCATAAAATACTGACACCTATCACAACACCTTTCACTAGGTTTTTGAGTGTTTTTATTTTTAGAAAATGCAACATTCCACGATACCCGCTCAAGAATGTTGCATTTGTTCCACTAGGTATGTTTATGTTTTAAAGTTTTTCTGTACTCATTCTATTCACAGGTGGCAAAATGCAGATATTTGTGAAGACCCTGACGGGCAAGACCATCACTCTTGAGGTGACTCAACATATGCTAAAGACAACTTGCTGTCATGTTCAGAGGACCTTCTTTCAATTGGCTTTGGAAGCTTAATTAGAAAAACATTTTTATGTGTAAACATTTTCAACCTTTTCGATTAAAAAAAAGCCTTTTAGCCTTCAAATGCTGCTAGTCAACATCATTTCGTTTGTTCTTGGCAGTTTATCGTCTGACCAAGAGATTAAGGTTTCATACTGTGTCGTATCCATTGTATCTCAATGCTTCCAGTTATATATCTTTGAGGTGCATGCAGGCAGAAGTATTTTCATATGACACAATAATGCAGTAATCTTGAACACAGTGTTAAACTGAAGTTCTCTTCATTAATGCAACTGAATACTACTGACAAATCTGTTTGACACAAACAGACATTCAGATTAAATGTTTGCCCATTCATTAAGTACTCCTTGTGAAAGATGTATCATGCCATACTATTTCACTTGTGATTGGTGGGCAGTGTGGTAGCCTAGTGGTTAGCGTTCGCTCGTCACACCTAAGACCCATGTTTCGATTCCCCACATGGGAACAATGCGTGAAGCCCATTTCTGGTGTCCCCTGCCGTGATATTGCTGGAATATTGCTAGAAGTGGCGTAAAACAAAACTCACTTGGGATTTGAATACTTGAGTATGATTGTGTATCTACAAAATTGGCCAGTTTGGTATCTTTTTCAATTACCTTTGTGGTAAATAATTTGCCCCATTTGTTCAATAGATGAATAAACTGTCCCCAGAGTTTGTACTTATTCTTAAAACGTACTTATGTTTCTGTGTCATCTGTTTAGAAATTAACATTCCATAATCTTTTCAGGTCGAACCCAGCGATACCATCGAAAATGTCAAAGCTAAGATTCAGGACAAAGAGGGTATGTATAGTTCAGAAGATCATCCCATTGTGCAGTTAGATGTTAGTGTTAAGGTTTCCGTAGGTGTTAACAATGTTCATGAATAGCGTCTGACCCTCTGACAAATCCGGCAGATTTGCCAATGGTCCGATAGAAGTCTACAACCCGCCGGCCCCAGTGTCTGACTGTATATTTCACAATGAATTTGACTGAAGTTGTGACATGTGACACTTATTTGCCATTTATAAATCGTGTTTGTTAATAATTTCAATGCCAATTATGAGAAATGTTAAATCTGAAATGTGTGTTTAATTTTATTCTATGGGTCCTGTGAATTTTGAATGGGTCAGACAGACATCTGAAACTTACAGGACCCAATGTCCTGTTACTTTAAAACACCATTCGTGAACACGGTGTTAATCAACAAGGTTTCTGTGTATCATGCATAAATTTCTCAACAAAAGTTTTGTATTTTTTTCTTGTATTATAGTTCAATCCAAACAGAACATCTCTATCTTGTGTGACAAAATTGAATTTTGATAAAGCTCTACACTGACTACAAAGTAAAAAAATAATTTGACTCCCAAGTCCAGATTTTAGTTGTCTCGTTAAAATATTTCATAAATTTCAGTGTTTGAGAAATAACATATTTCCAGATAAAGAATGCAAGATAATTTTTAAAAATGGAAATGAATATTTTCTTTCTGCCCCTTACAGTAATAACACTGTTATGCTTGTGGGCATGAGCTCACAAATCTTTTAAACCGCCTTCGTTGTGTAGTGGTTAGAGCATCCACCGGAGAGCAGAAGGTCAGGGTTTCGATCCCCAGCTGCGTCATACCAAAAGACATTAAAATGTGGTACTTGTTGGTCCCTGCCTGATGCACTCAGCATTAATGGGTAGTAGGACTGGTTGGCTTGGAATAAGTATACTGTGTCTGAGTAGGGTATTCATGCTTATCTGCGGTATGTTATCAGAGTGAACTAGCACTATAAAACCAGCTTAAGTCTGAGCTTGTACAAGCAGCCACACATACACAAGTATGCACGTCGTCATGTGAGCGACATATTCTTAAGTATGACGTTAAATCCCATTTCACCTCTCCTCAATTCTTTTAAGACCAGAAATAGCTAGTAGACTTTAGATCTTTCTGGCACTTTGACTGTAACATTCCTGCATATGTTTCAGGTTAAATTAGTAAATGAGTACCTAAAGGGACTAGACTGATTATGTCTTTGTCTGCGGAAAAGGTGTTGAAGTATTGATTGTGTATCTACAGTTACACGTTTCTGTTGGTTGGTACTAATAGAGATTTAGAAGTTATTGGACATAGAAGACATACAATTTTAGTTTTCATATTCTTTATACTACTGCTTCATGCCGGTGTAGATGTCGATCAGGTCTTCAGTAGAATTGAAGTATCTTGTTTCTTTATGAATATACAACTGTTTATTGCCTATTAATAGACCTGTCTGTAATGTAAGAAGGATGACCTACTGAAAAGGAAAAGAACTGCTTGTATGTTGACAGCATTGGAAAGTTTGCCATGATGAGAGACACTTAGGACACCGCTGATATCATCGTGACTGATACTCCAAGTTGCCCTATCTCTGAGCTGCTTTCTGTAATTGTTTATTCAATCTAAGGAATTCCTAAACTATAACAATTGGGACTTTTCCCTGTCGTTCCCATGCAGCATAAACAGGTGAATGTTGTCAAAATCCAAAATTTCTCGTTTGAAAAAAAATTGTTTCTCAATGTTCTGACAAGAAATAGGACAAGTGGGGATAGATAGCTCCTCCGGGAGACATGGGATCATTTTCAAGATTAGTGGGGCCACTCTCCTGATGATCATATAAAAAATATAACGGGATGTGCAGTATTTCAATTCAAATTCACCCTCCACCTCGGTTTGAAAGCTGCGATGTTACCATCTTATGTCACTGGGTGTGAAGTGTCTCCAATAATCTTGTGTGAACAATATTGAGTATTTTTGGTGAAACTTCAAAAACAAGATCTCATTGGAATGCATCACTGAGAGGGTCAAGCTTATTAAACCAGGAGTGCATGTGAGCAGCAGCTAGATTCATGGGACTGTTTCACAAGAGGTGTACTACATTTAGCATGTGAGGCCAACTGTCGCCTGACGTAAAAACTACATGGTTGATGATATGTTCCTGGTGGACAAATCTAGGGAATTCAGGAATTTGACTGCTTTTTGCATGTAATAAAAACCTTTTTGGTTTATGTTGGACTGAAAAACTTTGTTTCATAAACCTGGTAGTCCTCCATTTGTAAATGTCCTTGAATAAGTGTCCACTAGTTAATGTCCATCATTAGTTACTTGATGGTTACAATCTATGTCCTCTCTGACTTGATATTGTGAGAGGGTGGTTGATCTTTCTGTCAGCCATAGGTATGAACTACAGGAAACACTTGCCTTGAATATGTTGAGTTGCTATGATGAGAAAACTTAGGACACCGCTGAAATCATCGTGAATGATAATCAAAGTTGCCCTATCTCTGAGCTGCCTTATTAATGTTTTAGTTTCATGTGGAAATATAAGCTGGACGATCAGTGGTTACAATGTGTAAGTTTGGTAATCTGACTCATTTTCTACACAGTTGATATTGTTTTTGGTCATGTTTTTCAAAAGTAAACCACTGGTGTAACATGTTACAGTTGGGATTACACTTTCTCGGATTCTAGTTATTTTAACAATCCATCCAGGATTTGAAGCCACACTCACTAGTGGTTAGGTTCAGATTTAGGTAAAGCTGGCAAAGTGATACTTCTGATGATCACAAAACGATTCACATACACATTTAACACCATCAGTGATTGTCTAGTATATCACACCTGTATATAATTTTTTTATCTGTAATCTAGTATTTATTGTGAGATTGGTTATTAAAGTGGACAATTGAGGATATACTGTCACTGGCCTTCCTGTCTTCAATATGTTGAGTTGCTGTGATGAGAGAAACTTAGGACACCGCTGAAATCATTGTGAATGATAATCTAAGTTGCCCTATCTCTGAGCTGCTTTGTTTCATTCCCAATAACTAATAAATCAATGGTCTTTTACGATTGGGCTTTTTAACAATATTTCCAATAATGCAATACCAGTTTGTTATATATGGTCAAAATCCTGACATTTAAATGGTTTGAAAACTCTGAGCTGTTTTCTGTCAGTTTATTCCATAGAAGGAATTCCTAGAACAACTATAACAATTATGATAAATTTGTTCTCAATGTTGTGACAAGAAATAGGACAGGTGGGGATAGGGAGCTCTTCCAGGAGACATGGGGTCTTTTTCAAGTTTAGTGGGGCCACTCTCCAAGTGATCATATAATAAATGTAACAAGATGTGCAGTTTTTCGATTCAGAATGACTGTCCACATGGAGTTAGTGCA